AGGAACATGTTCCTACCAATATCCAGCAACTAAACTGTCCCTAGCAATAATTTTATAGTTTTTGCATGATGATGCATTTAAAAGTTAATGGCCAAACAGATGTTTATAAAAGTTCACATTGTTGTTGCAGATTAAATATGACACAGATAACATTAAATAAATATTTTTTTATCAGGCTAAATGTTGGTTTACTCTACTTAAGTCAGTCGCGCACATCCGCCATGCTTGTGGTTTTTTAACACTTTTTAATCGTATTTGTAGTTCTGAACCGAATGTAGGTAATATTAGCCATTAGTGTGTGCACGGATCCACACTTCATAAATCTACCTGAAATAGTAGACCATTTGGGGACTTCTGGCACACTCTTTTCAGCATACTATGCTTTGGGACGCACTTATTCTAATCTCACATTCGATTTAGGATGGATCGTGTGAACACATATCTGAATGAATCTGTTGAACGAATGAATCATTGACTCATTCATTCCGGCAGTGACTCGCTGCCACCTACTGCCGCTTTTAGTTTCATATTCAGAGTATCAAAAAAACATTAATACCCATTTATTATAATTATTTATGCAACGTTGACTCAAAACATTTCTTACTAAAGCCTCTTTTTTGTACTATCTATTCAAAGCTATTCTCATTTTAGCACAAAAATTATCTTTTGTGGGTAATTTCTCCAAAACTGAATCGACACATCATGTAATAATTAGATTAATATTATAAAGCGTATCATTCCGGTGCTTGACTCTGATTGGCTGAGCCGCGTTCGAAGCTGATGTAAATGATGCTACAAAGTAACACACACCTTTGTTTACGTTTGTGTGTTGCTCGGCAACCACTTTGTAGCAACCACAACTGTTTCTGAGGAGCTACATTGTTTGGTCGATTTAGGATGGATCGTGTGAACACATATCTGAATGAATCTGTTGAACGAATGAATCATTGACTCATTCATTCCGGCAGTGACTCGCTGCCACCTACTGCCGCTTTTAGTTTCATATTCAGAGTATCAAAAAAACATTAATACCCATTTATTATAATTATTTATGCAACGTTGACTCAAAACATTTCTTACTAAAGCCTCTTTTTTGTACTATCTATTCAAAGCTATTCTCATTTTAGCACAAAAATGATCTTTTGTGGGTAATTTCTCCAAAACTGAATCGACACATCATGTAATAATTAGATTAATATTATAAAGCGTATCATTCCGGTGCTTGATTCTGATTGGCTGAGCCGCGTTCGAAGCTGATGTAAATGATGCTACAAAGTAACACACACCTTTGTTTACGTTTGTGTGTTGCTCGGCAACCACTTTGTAGCAACCACAACTGTTTCTGAGGAGCTACATTGTTTGGTGGAAGAATACTGTTTTTATTAATATCATTACACTTTATTTGCTCTGCTTTATTTTGTGAAACCGTACTACGTATATGGAATAACCGTTTTTCGCGTCGTGCCTAACAACGCCCCTTAGCTGTTATAAATTCACTGTAAACCACGGCTTCACGGGGGTTATTGCTTTATTAATCACTTGGCAGCCTTTACTCAAACGCATCCTGTAAAAACAGATTCTGATGTGACTCACGTGAACGATTGCAGACGGATGGTGTGTAAACTCTCTCTCTGTCGTATGTGTGTGAATCCAGTTTGAGGGCGAATCAGATTCATTCATCCACAGCTTCATCAATGATGAGTTCCTGTCACAGCCTGGACTGCAAATGAAGCTTCATATCTGTATTTCAGTATTTAGTGATTGTACATTGAACAACAGATATGTCAGATCAGTGTGTTTATTTCCATTTCTTTAAAATGACCATCATTCATAAACACCGCGTCCTCTTGATCTGTAAATCATAATCACACAGTGAAACCGACTCGTAATGCTGGACACACTGCAGTTCTTCTAACGATCTACTGTGCCAGACATGAGCAGCTGCACTTACAGCAGTGTTTGAGGAACAGCACAGAAAACAATCAGACAGAGACGTGACACGTGCTTTCGTTTGAGCTCATTAATTCTTACTTTATAATGCATGTGAGCTGTAAAGTGTCTAAATCTGTGCTGGGTGTCGACCAGCTCAACATGAATATTATTGAAGCACTTGTTATAAAACCACACGGTAACACTTTACTTAAAACCTTTTATATAATGCATTGTAAAAGTATTATTTATGCCTTGTAATGCACCTTATAATGCATTGTATAATTGTAACCAGAGTTATAATACTCATTGTTACACCTTTAGAAATTATAATGCATTCAAACATGACAAACCAATTTTAGATGCAAAACGGAATATGCAAATATTATAATGCATTTTAATTTTGGTTACAATTATTTATTCAAAAGATACGATGCATTACATTATGCATTGTGAACATCTTTGTAATGCATTATGAATGAAGGCATCAAGTGTTGCAGAAACTAATTTCAGTTTTTCCTACTTCAAACTGTCATGTTTAATTCAGTGTGTTTCTTTGTAAATATTTCAATCAGCAATGAAATATTTGTTTAAAAGCAAATCCTACACCATTTTTTCCCCCAGTGTGCAGGAATAATTATTATAGCTTATATGGAGGGCTCTCTGAATCTTAATAACAGTGTGTCATTTGGTGTTTATTGCTCTTGTTTTGCACTGTACCTGCACTGAGGAGCGAGCTGAAGTGATTTTCTGTGCTGACAGACGTTATGTGACTAATGCTGCTGATGGAGCTTCAGTACTGAACCAGGATCGTGTAAACAAGGCCTCGGAGGTCACATTTAGCCTTTAGCGAAAGGCTGTTCCAGAATCAGTGAGGTGGACGTGACTGTTCAGATATAACCTGCTGGTTGATCAATCCTCTGGAATATAAAGATCAGTGTGCTGCTGGGAAACGAGCTCTGGTTTCAGTCACTGGCGTTTGGGTCGGCCGTCGGGCTTGTATTTGATCAGAAGACACAGAGACGTGAGACCAAACAGGAACGTCTGAGCGATCCACAGCAAGCGTGTGGACGTGCTGTCGATGCCTTTATCACTGCAGACACAAACACACTGATCAGCACAGTCCCGCATCTGATTAGAGGAAAACATCTGGGGGAAACTTGTGAAAATGTGAATGTGAAATCATCCTGATCTCGGATGAGCACATTTTCAGCACATTTTCATTTTTGGCTGAACTATTGCTTTACTCTTCCTCTATCACTTATATAATTAACTCAGGTATTCCATAAGTACAGTAAGTTCACATCATGCACGCAGCTTATCAGTCACACATCTGAGGGTCTGTACTGCCACCATGTGGAAACATCCTGACAGTGTAAACTATCATTAAAACACAAAGTGTCTTACCTGCAGGCCTTCAGTGCAAAAAGAGCCTCAAACAGATGGATGACCCACGTCAGAAACCATCTGAAACACAGACAGCCGTAACAAACATCCTCAGCGTCAGCTCTGAACTCACCCGTAATACACCACAGGATAATGATAGTCCACGAAATGCTTGGCCAGAGCGCCCAGAGGACCCAGAAGGCCATACGGGACGTCCCGAGGCCAAAACACCGTCCACTGGAAACCAATGAAAACACAATCACTGCAGAACCAGTTGCAACGAGAGTCCTGAAACAACCCAGAATCACTTCTCTTGGGTTCCTCAGGACAGGGTTCCTTTCATTTAAAAGTATCATTGCATTTTTCCAACATTTCATATTCGTATGCTAAAAAAGTCACATTAATCTTATAACATTATGTACGCGTTTGCAGTTTTACTGTGTGAATAACCTCTAATCTTCATTAAACAGTGATTAAATGCATCTAAACGGCACTTTTGATGCAGCTTCTGTGTTTCCTCTGCAGTGTTGATACTGATTTCATTTGAATGGAAACAACCATACAGTGTCTTATTACTCTAACTCAACGTATTGATCAAATTAAGAATTTGACATAAATGATGACACGTACATTTAATAAGTTTAGGAAAATATCACCCTTCATAAAGTTAAAGAGTGTCCTAGAAATCAGTTTAAGGCAAACATCACAAACAGACCTGATGAGACCATTACTTCAAAATGCATTACATTTACACCAAAAAAATAGTTTGAAGCAACTGCACGCCATATATTTAGATGAAAATAAGCTGAAGGCTCTCTAACTGCTTTTCTATCAAGCCTCAAATATCAACTATACATTGGTTTCGTCTTTAAAATATAATAATAAAAGTAAAAATATGCGTGGTATTAGAATGTTACACTAGAACTCAAATTAAAACAATAGAAAAACCCTTAAGATAAGCTGTAGGAAGTGTATCTTAAGCACACAGAATAACACAAGTGGACTTTGAACGATTATGTAATAATAGTAATCGTGATTAGACATTTGATTAATTGTGCAGGACTAATATAACACGTAATCCGGATGATATAATCAGATCCCAAAAATGAAGTACTTGTAATTAGATCACATTTTAAAATGCTCAGAATAAGATTACTTTTTTATAGATTACACGATTATATATTATTCACACAATGGCAGTAAATCATTCATCATTTGATTTGCCCTCATTTTTCTTTTCTCTCTCTCTCTCTCCTTTCTAAAACTCTACCGCTTTTATACATTTGGAAAGTCTTCCAGCTTTTCATCAACTCATTTATTCACTCATTCATGAATCTCTGGCATGATGTAATATTTAACACACCTCATGATGCTGACAACAAAGAATGGGATATATTCTAGTAATCGAAAAGTAGTCAGAATACATTTCCTAATATGAGTAATCTAATAAATTACGTTACAAACCGTAACAGACTACAATTTATAGTAATCCACCCAGCACTGTATATATATATATAACTGTTATTATTATTATGACCATGTCTTTTACTACAATTCTCATGTTAGAATATGGTTATTTAAATGGTAAATTTCTACGGTTTTATTACAAATTAAATTTTTCTAAATGTATTTTTTTTTAATATAGTCATTTTTTATTCTGTATATATCCAGTTCTGATTATTTTCTCCTAATCACCACGAGTTTGCACGTTTTCAGACATTTCGTTTAATTCAGAAGTCAAACAGCTTTTCTGTCAGTCATATTAATTACAAAACAAAAATTACCTGGATTAAAAATTTAAAAAAAAAATTAGAAACATGAAATTTTGAGCAACAGAAGTAGCACTATGACTGGGAAAATTAATCGTGGTTTTACTACAGTAACCATAGTTCATAGTATTTGTACCACAAAAGTATGTTTTAAGCATTAGAATTGTAGTAAAAGCCATGGTAGTAAATTATAATAAATCTGTCCCAAAAAAAAACTCACTTTATTTTTCATAAGCAGCATATTGATGCACGGTTCTAGATCACTAGAGTATCTTCTGTAAGGCTAGATTTCTGACTAAAACTGCACATGCTGTCAGGATAAAACAGCATGAATGTGCTGTGTGTGTTCAGTTGCAGCAGTGGGATATGTTCACCACAGTAAAGTCACAGCAAATGAAAAAGGCCGAGCATGACAAGATCCGTTTTTATTACAAAAAGGTTTGTGCATTTGCTGTCGGAACCCAGAGAGCAGCTCAAACGCTCTAAAACTAGCTTCAGACACAGCAAAGCAAGCAGCTCGGAGACTGGAGCGAGTACAGAGGGTTTCTGAGCACGTACAGTGAGGAGCAACTCTACATATTCAGTGCTGCCTATTACAAACATGGCCACGTGTCAAGTTTAAAATGAGAGAATAAAGATGGAAGATAAAACAGATCCAGAATCAATGATGTGATCTTGTGATGCAAGAATTAAAGGCGTGCAGCTTCAGAAACACAGCGTAAGAGATGATTCAAAACACACAGAGCTGCTTTTAGGAGCAGCGTATATTAAAGCCAGCACACCTCCTGCAGCAGGATGATGTCAAGAGCCCCTGACATGATTAGAAAGATATATTAGTTATGAAGGACCAAACTCTAGAAGAGCCGTTGACTGAAGCCCTGTACAACAAGACAACAGCCGCTCACAAGCCTTAGTCTCTCTGTAGTGTTGATTCACAAAATACTCTATATAACATCAATATGACATTCTCTGCTTAGTTTGATTGACAGGGCGCTTGTGCCACAAAAATATTAATAGCAATAGTTCAACCAAAAATGAAAATGTGTTAAAAATGTGCTCATCTGAGATCAGGATGAGTTTGTTTCTTCATCAGGTTTGGAGAAATGTAGCACTGCATCAGTGTCTCAGCAATGGATGCTCTGCAGTGAATGGGTGCCGTCAGAATGAGAGCTGATAAAAACATCACAATAATCCACAGCACTC